CTTTCCAGTAAACTGCTTCTGCCTGACCTGAACCTCCAAATGAGACTGCGTGTTTATTCCGCAACAGTTCCAAATTAGCTCATGTTTTTCTGCCACAAGCAGTACAAAGTGTCTCCAATGATGTACTGATGTTTATTTTTCTTTTAGCTTATATTGAAATATTCAAGTATTGGGACAAAATCTCTTGTGTTTCTTACTTGTCCTCGATGGTGGTAAACATCTGCATTCTGAGGATCAATATCAGCAGCCATGTTAAAGTCTTGAGTGGACAGCACGGGTTGCTGCTGCTGCATATACATGCTTCCTCGTTTGATCAGAGCGTTAGCTCGGAGCTGCAAAAAAAGTTCCAAGAAGCATTAGACACTCCATCATTCCTCCAGATTTACAGCTTTGTTACAATTACAGTAAACTTTTCACTTGACTAGTTTCTACCACTGACAGATTTAATTCATTCTAAGCAGGAACATATTTCATATTGACACCAAGTGAATCAACTCCCTTGCTTAATTTCAAATCTGTCAGCCTATGCTTCCATCTCAGTGGACTTTCAACCCCCAAAAATCCTTTATAAGACAGGTTCCCCATGCTTACAAATACATTAACACTTTGAAGCAGTTCAATGTGCAAGTACAATTAATGTTTTTCTCTTCTCTAGGAACTGATTTTTCAGACTGGATAAGCCTCCCCGTTCACTCAACTTCCTCTGTTCTTTAGTTTGCACTACTTAGCACAGCTGTCTCAAAAATCAACAAGCCCTTGAAAAAACAACTTGTCAGGAATAAAAAGACAAAACAGTAAATAAACCAGAAGACTCCCATTAAAGTATCTGAAAACTTGGGAAAAACCTTCTTGAACTATACTGCAAGTTTATCATCTAACTTCTATGTTTTCTCAACCCAAACTACAATCCAGCTGTGACAGATTCTTACCTTCACATTCGCATCTTCCATGCTGATGACCTGATCTAGGTCTGGTTTGGCAGCATTTGCATTGCCAATAAGTAAGTAGAAAGTAGCTCGCAGAAGCAAAGCTTCTGCCATGTATTTTCCCTTTGCTTCAATTTCTTTTGTGCTTTCACTGATAATTTTGTCATAATTCTCTTCTTCCATATATTGTTTTGCTCTCAAATAGCCAGAGCTGTAAATGATGTAAGAACAGTTGTATATATACATGCATTCACTGAACACTGCAATTTCAATTCAGGTTTTTCATTAAATCATGACAAATACTAACTTTTGCTACACCCAGTTACAACACCAGCATAATAAGTAAAGTTACAAATATTCCTGGATGGAGCCATCACAGACTGAAAACAACTTAGACAAAGAATAGTCGTAGTATATTGGAAATAAGGAAGAAAATTGTTTTAAAGCTCTTGCACTTAAGCTTCATCTGTCCCTTGGAATTTTTTTTTCACCGTCAGGACAGCAATAATGTCTGCCTTAAAACAAGAGGGCTGGGATGGAATTCCATGCAATTTGACTCCAGAGAGATATAACATCCTTTCAGCCTCAGCTGCTGTAAAGTCATCATTTTCATTAACACAGACCCTTTTCCTAGCTTGTCTTCTCCCTTCCAATCCAAAGACTAACTTGCTCTCTTCCTTGGAAACTTTCCTTCAGTAAAAAACATTCCTTTCTCCAGAAGCACCATTCAGCACTCTGCAGTCCTCCCACCTCTTCAGATTTACTATGATCCTGTAGTAAATATTGAGCATATCTTCCCAATCTCATTGTCCTTCCTCTCTTCGGTGGATCAAAGCCATCCAAAGTTTGGAACTGAACTATCCAGTCAGCTTTCGTAAGAGTTTCGGTTTTAATACTGATCTCATTTCATAGGCTCACTTTATTACTACAGGACTTCCCATGCCAAGTACCGTAAAAACAACAGCAAGTGACACTGAGCAGAACATCAAAATCACCGAAAACTTAATGTCAATACCAAGCAATTCCCAACTGTACTGTACACTCACTTTTCTTTTACTTCGGAAGCTTCTCCCTCCTTATCCTTATCTTCATCTGATTTCTCACCCTTAAGCAAAGGCTGGGAGATTATATCATCTGTGAAAGAACTGAAGTAGGATTTAATGAACTGCGGGGAGGGCATCAGAGGCTCACGATTCTGAAACAGAGAAATGTAACTTAAAGTCACTAGACAGTAAGGTCAGATGGTAAATATGAAAGGGATAAGTAAATGTGATTATAAAAAAATTCACTCATGAAAGAAACAATGTAAGGCTTTCCACTATCTCATTCAATAGTTTGGTATTTTGATTTCGCAGTTTGACATGTAGGGATTGTTTAAACTTCAGATCACAACGCAATACCCGTCACCAGTAGAACTAAAGTGAACATAATTCAAGAGAGGGAGAAGGAGATAATATCTTTCTGGTGTGTGGCTAGAAATGAGGACTCATAGGAGTCCTACTCATAAGTACGACTATCTACTCATAAGTAGGACTATCTACTCATAAGTAGGACTTATCCTACTCATAAGTCCTACTCATAAGACTTTGGGTACATGTACTAAAGCCGTGCACGTAAATTGCTGAAAAATGCAAGATGGCAGTATGAGCATGAGCCTAAACTCAAGTAGATTCTGACTGGCAATTTGCCCTTTTCTCTGACTTGGCCAAGAGAAGCTGCTGTCTCGTTACAATGAAGACTAATGAGGCAATATCCTAATTCTGCGTGGAGCTTGGCCCAGACACCATGCATTTCACTTGAAGTGCCAGAATTAACACCCCTCAGGTACAAACTCCTTTCTACAGATGCAAAATATTTCTTGCTCCAAACAACCACTGCACAAAAGAATTACAATTCAATCTCTCCAGCAAGGAAAGTCTGAATGCGCTCTTCTGACTTTCTCTATTAAGTTCTATCATAATGCTGCCTTCCTGAAACACATCTATTTTATGATGCTACCACCACCACACTAATAGCACACTTCATTTTTTGTTACCTTGACACCATGCACTTATGTGAGTTTCGATAGGAAAGAAATTCAGGATCTCAAAACCTACATGGATTTCAGTACTTCAAACACTGTCACAAAAACCAAGCAAGAATGTTTTAATAACGAGTGAGAATGTTTTAATACCTGTCCCAACTTTTCTGTAAACCTACCGCCACTTAAAACCACTGCTCCTGGCTACCCCTACCTATAGTTCCATAGTTCTCTTTTCTGCAGTTTCCAAACATTAATGCAAAGACATCTGAGTGCCCAAACAGAAAAGTACAAGTATGAGCATCTATTTACAGAAATGGAACAGAAACAGCCCGCAACTGACTGTCACAAGTAATCTGTGGTAGTTAGGAGATGAAGGTCTACTTTTCAACACAGAATTGGGAAGTCTGACCACTAGCAAAAAGATGTGACTTCACACTGCATCATTTTTTTCTTAAGCAATGCTTTTTTTTTACAAAAAAAAAAAACCAAAACACAAACCCTACCTTAAAACGGTATTATTTTTCCACTTTCTAAAACACAGGACTTCTGCTGTCAACTTAATCTTTCCTACGTGAAATTTCTGTTTCTAAAACCAAGAATAACCTGAGGCAAAGAGTCCTCGATCATCATTCTTCCCATTTTAAGCTATTCATTACATTTGGAACCCACGTTTTTACATATTCTCAATTATTGTTTACAAACCTTCCTACTGCAACACACGTACCTAACTCAACCACCTGACACGCAACCGAACATTTGGCTACTGCTGTTCCAACACATCCTGTTTCCGTTATGTTGCAAGTCCACAAGAGCCCAATGTAGTGCAGCACAGCACTTCGGGTGTCTCCTGAACGTCATAATAAATTTGATTATTAGAGGGAAACAATTGTTCGAAACAGACCTCTACTCCTGCTGAGGTTTCAAAAACTTTGGACAGGTCCCAAAGGAAAACAACATCAGTACAATACTGGCTTCGTGCAAAATCGTTCATGTCGAGTCCTACATTTCAGCAGATGAAGACAGCAACTTGCTTACAACAACTGACAGAATGCCAACCATCAACATTTCAACAACCAGTCAAGTGAAATCAGGGTTTGTCTGCAGTACCACAAGTCCTACCTTGTATTTCTCTTTGGCCTTCTCTTTTCCAAGGAGTTTAAGAACTTTATCAGCTAATAACATACTTTGCTGGTTTTGAAAGGCTTCTAAAATGCAGACTGCAGTGACATCTAGGAAGCAACACACAAAAGTGAGAGTAAAGACAAATTCTGATAGTCATTGGAGTACACTCAAATATGCCACTATTACAATGAGCCACCATCAAACTAATAAACGTCCTCTTTAAGGGTAAAAGCCTCTGTTTCCAGTTTGCTGTATTTACCATGTTTTCCAAGATACAAATCTGTATCCAAAATTATCTCATTGCGGTACAAGGACTTCATGACAGTGAAAGAAAGAAATTACATTTATCTTCATGTTTTTATTTAGAGACAACCACACTTAGATGAACAGTGCAAACATACACCTCCAGCAGGGGCTTTCAACATCTTGAAACTTTGGGGATAGTTAAGTATGTTCCTATTATGTTCGCATTAAAAGTGTTAACACAGCATCTCTTCTGGGACTGGTCCTAATTTTCTACTTTTAAAATTCACGTTCAGTCCAATCACATCTTGCCTCTTCCTCAGTTTAAGAAATCTTCTCATATTATATCTGAAATTTTCTGGTCACCTTCATGAATTTGGAAGGGAGCAAGCTTACGAGAAATAGCTTGCTGGCCTATATGAAGTGCTAAGCCATATCATATATCACTTTCATTCACACACAGAGCCTCTGCAAATGTTAACCCACTGCTGCCTGAATTATGCTTTCCAGTGTAAAATGTGATCTTACATTATCATTACTGCTCTGGATCATCTAGTTAATGTAATCCTACCACTGATTTTTCCTATTTAAATTTCACTTAAACATCAGTAAAGATGAACAGAGTTTGGACTTGAAATTCAAACAGTGTATGGTTTGAATGCACTTGAAAAGTAAGTGTCTGACCCTGGAGTTCACGTTTAGTTTCTGTAATCCTACACTGCTATATGCCACCATTCATACGGAAACTCCACACTTCTCTGGCATAGTCAAGAAGCACATTGGAGTCCCCGGGAAAACAGGCTACACCCAGAAGGACCGTGAGAGACAGCAGCAGTAATACCATGCTACACGATCTTAGCAGACACGCTTCACCCAAAGCGGGCAGCTGTCAACTAGTGCCCGGGCTTGGGTAAGGCAGCAGCATCTTCCCAAATACATACTGCCAGGGATCATAGGAAGAGGTTTTTGCTGGTGGTGGTGGTGGCTTTGTTTTGGGTTTGTTTGATTTCACTTTCCTCCACTACATGGACACGTCCTACTTCCTGGGATTTTACTGGCCATACATAGTTGGCAGGTAAAAGCAGGATTGTATTAGAAAGCCAGTGTAGTTCAGAAAAAGCAAGTAGTTTTCACATCTGAAAAAACTGTGAGCTAAAAACCAAACACAAATCAAGGTTGAAAATAATTGCTGCAAATATTACTGCTACTAACATTAAAAAGGAGTTACATTTAAAAGCTATCCTACTATGGCAGGGACACTTGATCTTTCTTGGGGCTTTTATCATCTGTCAGTTTGTGCAACTACATAAGGTTTAGATTTTATTATAGCACTCTGAAGTGCAGCTGTTATTCAATTAGCGATTGCAAAGGACTACACTAAACAACCTAAGTAGTCCTTTTCTAGTCATTGGTCTTACAGGGCGGAAAGGCACTCTGCCAGCACTTAAACAGATAAAAAACATTTCCACATCTTATTTCCTTTCTAATTTAGCAGACCTAATTCTTAGCTGTTACACATAATGAAAGTAATTTAACAGCTATATTTGCCAGTCAGCATACTGCCTTTATTTTCTGTCCTTCTTTGATAACAAGCACAGCTGAAAATTTCATTTGCCTTTTAACCTGCAGGAACGATTTCACCTGATGAAATTTAAATAGGCCCTTTCAAGAAGGGTCCCTTAGTTCAAAAGTGTCCTCAGACAACACACCTGACCTGTAGTTCTCCTTAATTTCATGGCTTCTCAGTCTCATCTTCCTGATAGCTCAAAATGTATTGTTAGGAATAGTAATTGGAAGGATTTGACACAGTAGTTTCTGCCAAATACACAGTATTAACATTAAAAAAAGGTTAAATCTGTTCCAATTTTCCTAACAGTTATACATCAGAAAGAAATGCTAGTGAAGCTGTTTTCCCTTTAACATCTGCCAAATACGTTTAAATGACTGTAATACGCTTGTTTCTGACCGTGTGTCTCCACCTGCAAAAAGACCTTGGTTTTTGTAGTATTACCATTTCTCTAAAACAAACAGGTAAGAAAATTTCTTTACTCTATGGAAGTAGAATGATTGTTGCCTAGGTTATCCACTCAGCATGTTAGATTAATTCTATCCTAAAATGTACAGAGTTTCCTGGGAAAAAATGCCTTGAGTGGCTACAGTAACATCAATTTCACAGCAGTTATTTCATATGTAAGCAGATGACAGCTTGAAAAACAGGAAAAGGTTTCTTCTTACAAGAGAAGAAAATGTATTTGCAGTAGCTATGAATGGTTTTAAATAAATAATTCTCTATTACTGTAGTTACAGAAGTAAAACCAAAACAATCCCAGAAGTTATTATCTCCAAAGTGCCTGAGCTAATTCTACTTTTAAGTATACACATCAAGAGACACTCACCTTCTAAACATTCCTTCTTATTGTCTAGCTTCTCATGAGCCTTTGCACGTCTGAAGAGAGCTTTTACATATTTGGGATTAAGCTCAACAGCCTTTGTGCAGTCTTGTGCCACTTCTGTCCACTTTTGCTGTGGGTAGAAAACGACACAATGAGAGGCACCTTACTCAGCTGCATTATATTAGCTGTCCACTACCAACTCCAGGGTCATGCCCACCTAACAGTAGCTGCAGTTCCCAGGGCTCTGGTTCTACCTGCTTCCTTCTATTTCTGCAAGTTTCTGAGTAAGAAACTGCCAGGCACCACTGGAAGCCACCTGCACCAGAAGAGCCACAAAACAAAAGGAATTCCTACAGAAAAATGAAACCAGACAGTTGTACAAAGCGTAAGGGAGAAGATAATGAGTTGATGTGAAGATGCTGGCAGGAGGTAACACTGGGACTGAAAGACTGGTACAAAACAAATAGAAGAGAGAAAAAAATGAAAACCAACACACACATTTAAAGAAAGTGCTAAAACACTTTTTTTTTTTAAATTTGTTATTTCAATTTACTGCACTGTGTTACTACACAGGGACGATAAATGAATACGTAGGAGCAGAGCTGGTCAAGGGTATTGAGAACTAAAAATCTTTTATCTGCAAAACTGATTATCAAACCAGGCTTTTCTAATAACTGAAAATGAGGAATCACATACATCTGGGATTCATTGTGGCATGAATTAGTGTTATAAGCAGCATTTGATTAGACAAGAATGGTTACATCTCTCCTCTAACTTTCAAGACTAGATTTCTCTAGTCAGAGTCTCTCACTTGATACTTCTGGCTGTACAAAGCCAATTTTTCCACTCCTTTATACAGCTCACCAACTTGATGTCACAAGCAAATCTATTGCTACCATAATAAACAACACTGGTTGACTTCTAAAACTAGCGTCAAGCATACTCAGCTACCAAGTAAATGTTACTTCCACACATGCAAAATTTAGGTCCTGGGCTTTAGCAGGATTTCTGTAATTTTTTTTTGCTTAATTTTTGAAGTATCATCCTTCCAAAATATTTGGCCGTTCACCTAATGGTTAAAGGAAGTCTGGCAGAGAGAAGCAAAATTAAGTTATATACAAGGAAACTGTTCCAGATGGTAAGAAATTAAAACCTTCTCTTACAGGAAAGGGACATATAAGAACTACATACGATAGAGTTGAGAATAGTTAACAAAATAATTTTATTTATATGTGGAAAAGTACAAAGAGCTAGTGAAAAACAGCTGCAAGCAATGGCATCTTGTTGTGAAGCAGCAGATATCACCACTTGGGATCTTTCAGGGGACAAAAGTGACATAATACACAATTTATAATGCAATTTTTTAGGATAAACACGTTATGATCTTTAATTTCTTACCAGCTGTTCATAGGCAGCAGCTCTATTTTGATAGAAGGTAGAAAGATCAACGTTTTTCTCGGGAGGGCACAGGCTGATAGCCTCAGTGTAACACTGAATAGCTTGCTCATATTTTCCTGCTTTAAAATACTTGTTTCCTTTGTTCTTGGCTGCTTGGGCTCTATCAAGACTGCTCTGAAAAAGAAAGCGATAGGAGGTCAGTTCAAATAAGAAAAGCATCACCGCACACAAGCTACGCACTTAAGGGCTGATCTTCAATGGTGAACTCTAGGCCTAGACTTCTGAAAAATCTCCCTCCTTCCATTTCCTGGAAAAACACAACACTTTTTTTTTTTGCAAGTACATCAGATATGAGACAAACGTTTCAAAAGATTCACTACAACGGTACGAAACAATGCAGTGATTTCTCTTTGGAAAGCTAAACAGGTTTTAATCTTATGTGGAAGGTGACCAGAATAACCAATGAGGTAAGTTATTTCTCCAAAGACTAAACATGTGAAGACAACAAAGCCCTCAAAGCAATTCAAATAGAAAAAGTTTCCTACTGAAATACATAAAGCCTATAAGACCAGAGCTGACTCAGCAGACTATGAATTAAATATGGAAAACACTTTGTGGAAAGACCTACTGGACAAGACAAAACCCGTCGGGAAAACGAAGCTGGTTTGCCTTCCGTAGACTAGAGAAGTTAACTAACTTCAGATAACTCCTTCACACCTTCACAGAACCCGCCTCATCCAACCGCTGTTACAGAGTGCCGGACCATCACAGTCTGCCGTTCCTAGCAGAGGATGGAACACTTTGCTGACTGGCCTGTGACCTTGCTAAGTGAATCTTTACATTCTGCACTGCCTGTTGACCATCTGCATTCCTGCAGAAACCCGTGTTGCCACCTGTAACCCCGAGATTTACAGATCAGTTATCAAATGTTGCGGTTTACAAGGAACCAGATGTAAAAAGCCTCTCTTTTAATAAAGGGGCATGACTTACATTCAAGAAACAGAGCTGCAAAAGATGCTAACATTCACCTCTGGACTTCTGCTCCTCTTTCACAGCCTAGCTTCAGGGATCAACATTTTGGGGCAGTTCAGGCTAACCTATTAAGCCGAAATGAACAGAGGTATGAGCACACATGCCATCCTACCACCTCTCTGAGGAGGGAGAGAGTACAACCTACAGGCAGTAATGCCTTAAATGATAGCTGCAGGATTCACCACATCTCACCTGTCGAATCACACGCACTGAGGAGATAACCTAAGATTTGAGGGCAATTGTAAACATTACTTTTTGTTCATCCTTCTGCCTCCTCTCCCTGCCCCATCCACTGCCAGCGTCAAGCTACACCCAAACTGCTCTTAAGACAAACCTCAAAGCATCTTTACATTTCATCAGCCTGTTTCCCTTGATGTCTGCTCATTTCATGCCAGTCTGATAATTTTTAGCATCTAAACAGTTTTTAACACTGATAACTCTAAGGGAACCCAGGAGTTGCTGTACAATCCCTCTTTTTAGGCCTGGTTTCCAATCACGCCATGAGAGAATCAGATAATGGGTGACAGCCTCAAGACCTACACAAAAATGGGCATCCAAATAGAATAGAAATATCCTACAGGCACTCTCCTGAGGAGGCACTTACCAGTGCAACCATATAAGGGAGAAAATTTCTTAAATATCCCTACTGCCAGGAAAGCTCTTCTCTCATGGGTTCATCAATCACTGGGCTTACAAGGAAATCAATCTGCATGATCTCCATTTTTCACAGAACAAGATAATCTTCAGGGCTTTTAGATTTCTCTTCTTTAACGATTTAAGTTCAAATTGATAAAAGATTATTATCTTCACCTCTTTTCATACACTGTGCAACTCTATGGATACACAAACCAGAGTTAGAGTGCAAATATTTTTACTGAGAGCCAAGTAATTGTGCATTTGATAAATTGTTTCTTTAAAACTCAGCCCAAGTTCGAAAAGGTTACATTTACTTCAAGTATGCCCTAAATTTAGCTCCCAATACAACCACCCTTCTAACTAAGGGAAGAGTTACACATAAGCAGCAGACAAACTTAGATGCATGAAAGTCAGCTTCAATTTTTCCTTCTGCACTTCTACAGCAAACAACACTAGAAATGTCTTTGCGAAATAATCTACAAAATCCAGTGCTGTTCCAGATTGCTTGGTACCAAATAGAAAAACGCAAGATATGGGCCACGTTGTAACATTCGGATCTGTGTTCTCAGTATGGAAATTATTTAAAATGCAGAGAGTAATCTACAACTAGATTACTACTACACAATCACTGCCGGTTCCTTTATCCCAGAGATCCATTACCCCGAGGCATGCCTGAGGCTGACCAGTCAGTCCGTCTGCTCCATGCTATGCACTTTAACAGCCCTGCACTGCAGGCCCTGCATCTTTAAAGACACATGCTACAGATGAGCTCTGCAATTGCTGCTCCGGTGTCAGGTGTGGGATAGGAATTGTAACTGAAAGGAAGAAATGTGTAGATCTGAGGCTGACAATGGTGCTCTGCTGGTTCTTGAGAAACACAAAGTCTTCGGACAAGTCTAAGTGCATGCAACAGGGACCAAAAACTTTATAGAGTATGGGCATGATGCCACAGGAAAATCAATTAAAATTAACTCTGTTATCAGAGTAAGCTTTAAATAACGGCAGCAGGACCTCAGATCACACAACCAACTATTCAGAAATGAACCATCAAACAGATGCTAAATCCACGGATACACTGCTTCACACATTACATGATGCAAGAAACCTGGAGATAGGGAGTCAAGACTTAGAGCACAAGATGCTATCATAATAAAGTCAGCAGTAATGCCCATGGCAATAAGAAATCAACTCTTTTGTTTGCTTATGCTGCCTAAAACTAGACTCCTAGCTCCTGGATGGTTTACCTCTGCAACATTAGTCACACTATTCTGCTACAGTCCTCAGATTGCACCGCTGAACTGAATGGCCAACATTTTAAATGCAAAGGATGATACAGCTCTGTATCGTCGATAAGCCCATTCTGATATGGCCTTACACGAAAAAATAAAGTTGCTTAGCATCTCATACCCACCGACACTGTATCCCACACAGACTGTATAGAAACTGTGCATTAAAAGTAACAAAATGTTGCATCTATGTCTTGGAGCCCAAATGCTAATAAAACACGATGCCAAGCTTTAAACCCAACTCTTTTTCTAAATAATGATCCTGATGAGATTTCTCAGCAATCATGACACACTTTTACCATAGAAAACATAGCAGAAAATAGTGGATTAATTTACAGCTTTGGTATATAACTGGTCAATTTATGGAACAAAACAAAAATACAGATTTTATTTTAATTTTGTGACTTTTTAAAGAATATTCATAACCACTTTTTTCAAAAAAGTTTAATAATTTCTGTATCAGTTACATATTCAACTTAACTAACTGCAGTATAACCTGATGAAGCCAAAAACTCCAAAAAGCTAAATCTCATTAGTCTCTTACTTTGCTTTGGCATGGTTTTTTGTGGGTTTTTGGTTTGTTTTTTTTTTAAAGATATTGAAGAACTCATGTCACATTATATGCTGTAACACCTTTTCATAATAGCACAAATAAGAAAACGGAAATTAATTCTCAACATAAGATCAGTTTTTGAAAGAGTTTGTCAAGCATTAGATTTAACCCTGATGAAATTTTTAAGCTGCTGCTTCTCAGTCCTCCAGTCCTTCTCAATTGCTACATTACAGATGCACACAAACACAAAACTGATTACGCAAGCAAACTTCATGTACCTCATACACAAGTAATCAAAAAACCTCACACCTTCTTCTACCATTTTCTTGCAAATGTAATAATTCTAGGCATTATTTTCCAATTTGACTGCTTCTCCTCACCTGATCCACTGCCATTCTATGTGGTCCCCTGGTCACTTTTTGTCCCTAAGGTGAAGATCCACATAAAGGAAGAAAAGATCTCACAGTTTTTCGTCTTCTGGTCAAACAATCTATGGTCAAAGAATCTATGCAACAAGCAAACGAGCTCAATAAAATGAATGGAAGTTCATAATCAATTACAAGGCAGGATAAACAATTAGCTCAGAAGTCACCTGCAGTTACATAAAAACCAACATCTCGGTACTTAGGACCACTTTCAGCAACTCTTCACTAACAAGTCTTAAAAGGACACTTGTGTATTTGAGCAGCACTCAGTTTCCTAGGTAACTAAACAAGCAGATTGCTAACTGTCTGAAGACTAGACAGCACTGACAAAAACTTCTTAACTGTTACTCTCACCTCGGTAAATGTGCTTTCCTCACAAAACGTTCGGAAACTGTATGCAAACAACAGCAACTGAACGGCAACAAAACTGCCAACTGCAAGAATAATGAAGCTCATAACCCCCAGCAATGCCAATATGGTTAAACTGGCAGTTCAGAACTTTACATATTTGAGAGAGATTGTTTTTTAAAGCAGAACAACAAATTTGCTTCCAGCCAATGACGACAGTGATTCACAACAGAAGCACACGCAGAATTTCAGCATTTTCTTTTGGTTGAAAAGGATTTGCATGAGCCCTTGCCAGACAGATGACATGGAGGGGGACTACTGTTTCAGCCGCCTTAATTCATCAACTTGGGCCCTGGTCTAGACTTCTCATCAAGAGGAAGAAAGAAGTCTAGAAGATCAGGTACCAAAAAAAGAACTGTTGTTTTCTGAATACCTGCTGTTGTTGAATACCTATTTTTCATCTTTTGTTTTTTAAACTAACTTTCATCTCAAGTCTTATTTCCAATCTATACTGAAAGGCATTAACTGAGTATAAATGTTTTTAACATTCTCCTCAGCACTAAAACCACTATGAGAAAAAGTATGCCCACATGAGCTTAAGATGTGATTTCAGAGGGCAAGCAAGGACGTATTACAGTTAGATTTAATTAAGCTCAAGTTTACAGTACGATTTGTCAACGTTCTCCATCAGTCACCTTCCTCTTAAATGAGTTTGCCATTCACACCTACCACCAATAAGTGAGTTGCACCAGCTGACAAAAGCCTAACAATTGTTCTACGGCTATTACACACACGTTGAAGCTTTTTCTACACCTGTCCACTACAGCTGACACGAAACATAGAAGACTCACAGTAGATCAATCATGAGATTTATTAGGGAACAGGTGCACAGTA